CATGAATACTTGCGCTCATTATCACAGTAAAAGAAACTCATACTTTTCAGAATTTAATTATTTTGGAAACATTTTTACATACTCCTTCTGACCATATTGTTTTTATACTTTGTGAGGAAAGTGATCGTTTTAACCTTTTCTGCGAATACGCTCGCTATCAGAGTAAACAAAAGCATACTTTTAGAATTTAAATTAATAGGGAATATAATATGAAATCGCGTTATCTAAAAAGCATGCTTGCCAGTGCGGTGATGTCACCACCTTTCCCTCTGAATAACTCGTCAAATAATTATGTCTGTAGATTTAATTTATGTTATTTTACTTTTTTATTTTGTTTCATGTGAATTTCATTATTTTTATTTGCTTTGGCAACACTGATTTTAGCTATCGGTCATGCTAACAAAGCACCTTGAATTGAAATTAAAATTATATTAATAGGCAGTGAAAACATTTGTTTGTCTGTCTGTGGGGAGAAGGGGGACTGTCTTTCATTGGAAGGTACACCTATTCTACTCTGAAAATGTAGGGGGGAGGAAAAGTGCCCGTGGTCTTTTTACTGATAAAGTTGTATTAACAAAAATATAGTTTGCTTAAGAGTTGTTAAACTGGTTTTGATTTATTTTTCGGCACAGCCAGCCAGCCCGAACCAGTAAGCTGCAAGTTTTTCCCTACATTCCGTACAGATACAGTACAATGACATTCTCCTGTCTTCCCATGTGATTGTATTGTATCTGTACAGATAATCACTTAACTGAATGTTTTGTGATATTTAGAAATACCAACAAATTCAATATAGTGTCGATAATATTTATTGTCAGTAATAATATAAGTACCCATTTGAAATTATTCGTTGCTATTAATAAATTAATTAGCTTCAAACATGTTGTAATATTTAGAAATATGCGCTACATTAATGTGGGGCTTTCGGGCTCACGTGGGTTTGCGCCCTACACCCTGCAGTACCGCTGTGTACATACAGTACGAACATGTTGTGATATTTA